ACCCTGAAGTATCCTAGCCCTCCCTCCTTAATGGCTAAAAAACACCGAAACAGTAGATAGCTGAGGGGGGAGGTACTTCGTGTTGGGATTTAGAGAAATACATGCAGCTACCACAGCAGCAATGGTAAGCAGTGCAATAGACAGATATTGCAGATGCAGCAACGGCAGTTTCAACGGAGGAACATTGGTAGCATTGACAACTCAACATGATACTCCAGAAGATTGGGCATGCAACACACACACAAATACAAAATGATAGGAAGAGCAATGACCTTGTCAGTTTCCCTAACCCCGCCCAACAACACGAACTGATGTTCAAGCCGAAGCTTCCAACAAGCATGTCTATTGCAATAACAACAATCATAGCAGTCTCGGTGGTCTTTGTGATAGCAGGCAGCAGTGCTGGTTGCTGCTATCGTCTCCTGATCATAACCGCAGTGGGTTAAGCGGCTTTCCGAATTGCAGCTGCCACTACTTGTAGGAAGGCGGAGAGGGAGAAACAGCCATCATCGTCGTCATCTTCTTCTCCATCACCATCGTCATCATCTTCATTGCTATCATCACTGCAAACATCAGCACCATCGCCACCTGTTCATCTTCTTCGGCATGACAAGTGTCAGATCTCATCCTCTTCATCGTTGCCACCGTTATCATCGTGGTACTGTTCTATCGGTCTCTGGAGCTCATACCAGCTATGCTCAGACGTCAGCATCATCAAGTAGGATTTCAGAACACTCGCCGCCCTACACTACACCCAAAACGATGGTTTGCGATGCCCAAAGCAGAACCTGCAAGACTAGCAAACGAGTCTGAATGGTTGGTTCGGGGCTCCAGGTATTGAGTATCTATACTTTGCACAGTAGCTCAAACCCTAAACCCTAAACCCTAAACCTTGATAACTTCACAGGACTTTATTTTGGGTATTACCTGCGGCCCTTATGTTGCTGAAGTCCTGGAGGCTGGAATTCGTGAACAAAAACCTCTGAAGCCTTGTAGCCAGAAAAGCCTAAAAGCCTAAACCCCGAAAGCCTGACAGCCTTCATCCATTAGACCCTGTAGCTCTGAACCCTAAACCCTAAATCCTAGTTTTTCAACATTTTCAAGAAAAAAAGCTGGAATTTCAGAAATTGCAACTTGTAAAATGGAGTGCCGACAGGAAAGTAACAGCCCTGAAAAAGGTTATTTTGCCGGCTACCCGGCTACTCTGTATGTTTGTGAGATGGCCAGCATCTAAGATTCGTCTTTTAAGTGCTTAAGAGGCAAATCCAACAAAGCAGTTTGGGGTGCGCATTCGCAACGCAATCGCTATCTTGCCCCGCTGGTTGGAAACCACATTTATGAACCTTGGCTGATTGTTTTCAAGAAACCAACCCTAAACCCTCTACCCTAACCGCCCAAACCCTAAACCTTAAACCCCAAGACTATGTGGCTCCCAGGATTCCCTGGCTAGGACCCACAGCAGGTCTTTGCAATGTCCAGGCGATTCCACAAACAGAAACGCTGATCGACGCCAACTCGTATGATCCTATAGTCTAGAGTCCAAGAAGAATCCCTAAACGCTAAACCCTAAACCGTAAACCCAAAGTCCCTAACCCCTAAGCCCTAAACCCAAAGCCCCTAAACCCCTAAACCCTAAGTCCTAACCCCGACTCCGACCCGGCCTTGGCGACCTTGAAGGCAGACTCTGGTCCGGCCAAGTACGTCGAAGAGCCCTGGCTCTCAACGGTCTTTTGGGCCCTTAGGGTTTAGGGGGTTTAGGGGTTTAGGGTTTAGGGTTTAGGGCCTAAGAGGGCTTAAGGATTTTCGGCCTAGGGGCCCTTTAGGGCTCAAGCGTTTAAGGATTTAAAATTAAGTATGTGGGGTTTGGGGTGTGCGCTTTGAGACTTTGGGCTTATAAGTCTTAGGTTTTCTGAATTGTTAAGGCTTAGAAATCGGGGGTTGAGAGTGTAGTGGTGAGCCTTGAAGTCACGACCTACTGTCCATGCCATGCTGACCTTCGGCTTCCTTACGCTGTGAGGCTTTGGGGTTTTGGGTTAAGTCCAAGGTTGAAACCATGCGCCCCTAGTATGGGCCCTTAACCCTGGGATCCTTGTACACCTACTATATACCCGAGATGTACCCTCCAGGGCCCCTAGAAAGGCCTAAGGGTCCGTATCAGTTCCCATACTTCTAACCTTAGATTAAGGGCTTCTTGACACTACGAACCCCGACAGCCTGCACCCCAATTCAAGTGTGGACCTCAGCGTAATTTAGAAGCCTTAACAATTGTGTTTCGAATAGGCTTTTGGGGTAAATTATACTATAATCATGATAAGGAACCCCCAAAATAATTTAGGCAATTATGGAGGCCCCTACATTATCTTTGAGGACCCCTCATGCAAACAACAAGCCCAACTCGCCACACGCGACCCCCTTTGGGAATCCATGTGACAGCGGGCTTCAAGCTTCTAGGAACCGGGATGGTGCCGCCGTACGAGGGATGCCAGGTGTTCCGATCTCACAACAACGTCCTTTTGTTGTTACGGCAGTGTCATCCCTGACAGCTAGTGATTTCCTGCGACTGTCTTCTGTCAGGCTTTTCAGACTTGGGCCTGGCTGCCATCGCAGTTCAAGCTACTGCTGTGCATTCCCTTGCACCGAAGTCTGCTTCGTCGTCCGCCAAAAGACTAAGAAGAGCAATGGTAGCATCCACGACGGGTTAAGGGTTGATACAGTCAACAAACCTGTCTAAATGTTGCACCAGCACATGCGGTTCTTCCATGTCTCGGCAAAGCGAAAGCACGCGGTGATGATGTGGCATAACGTTCAGTGCTGGTTCACCCAAATTACGGTTGGGGGTTTTAGGGTTTAGGGGTTTTAAATGTAACGTTTTCAAACACACGGAAGCTGGATCAACACAATCGCGCAGCCAATCCAATCCTCTCCCATGAACCATGCTAGAACCCAGACGCCAGTGAGATGCCCCCAGCAGGAACTTCAGCCATTAATCGGTAAGCATCTAATCGTTGATGCCTCGTCCGTCCCTGAAGCCTAGACCCTTGCGTTCCCTTGGGTTCTGCCTTCGCACGTGCCGCTGCAGGTCAGCGAAGGAAGCTGCAATAAAGAATTCCAACTGGCGGGCCACACTTCGAGTTCAGGCCGTCAGCTACGAGTATAGTAAAGCAATGACACCGAGTTGTTTTCAGAAATGCTTTGGTGACAATCCCCAAAATATAGCAGGCTCCAGAGCGAGAACAAGGAATGTCACACTCAGGTGCCTGCATTTTCGCTGTGCTAACATTCACAATGTCTACTTAACTGCTGCTCATGCTGCTGCTACTGCGACGACTACTACTGCACTACTATCACCACCACGACGACAACATAGCACTAACACTGCTACTACCACAAGAACTGAGAGAAGTATGGTAGCAGTAGTAGTAGTAGTAGTAGTCGTCGTCGTCGTCGTCGTCGTCGTCGTCGTCGTCGTCGTCGTCGTCGTCGTAGTCGTCGTCGTCGTGGTAGTCGTCGTCGTCGTAGTCGTAGTCGTAGTCGTAGTCGTAGTCGTAGTAGTCGTAGTAGTAGTAGTAGTAGTAGCAGCAGTAGCAGTCCCGAGGTAGCACTAGCAGTAGCAGTAGTCTCTGTTGTAGTCGTCGTATTGGTCGTCGTCGTCGTTGTAGTGGTAGTCGTTGTCGTCGTAGCAGTGGTAGTCGTAGTGGTAGTGGTAGTGGTAGTGGTAGCGGTAGTGGTACTTGTGGTGGTAGTGGTAGGGGTAGTACCGGCAGTGGTGGTAGTGGTAGTGGTGGTGGTTGGTGGTAGTGACTGGTAGTGGTAGTGGTAGCAGTAGTAGCGGTAGTGGTAGTGGAAGCAGCCGCAGGAGGAGGAGTAGTAGTGCCATCATCATACCATCTAACTATACTGTGATGTTGGCATCAGTAGCAGGTTAAGCCTGTGTCAGTGGTAGTGACTGGCAGTGGTGGTGGTGGTGGTGGTGGTGGTGGTGGTGGTGGTAGTGCCAGCGGTGGTGGTAGTGGTGGTGAAGGAGGTGGTGGCAGTGGAGTGGTATCTGTTGCAGCAGACGCAGTCGTAGCTTTGGGCAGTAAAGGCAGCAGTCGTAGGCGTCAGCACAGAGCCGGCCTCTCGCGAGATCGCAAAGGTAAGGAGCAGTGATCCCAGTGGAAGGACGAGGGTCAAGCCGGCGAAGAAGGCGTACACCTGACGAACTGGAGTTTAGGACATCAGGAGTGCGTAGTTGAAGGGCGTGGGTCAAACGAGCATGTTTTTGCGCAACATGCTCTAAGGCTTAACAGAAAGGAGTCACTGCGGCTGGAGAAAACAATTGCGAACACGACTCTTGCTGACACAAGGTCGTCTGCCGACTCCACATCTGCGACGGAAATGGAGGTTTGTGATGTACTGCTCCACCGGCTGATGACTCAGCGAAAGCAGAAGCAATTGAGGTCAACCTGCTCTTCATGTTTCTCCCGTGTGCCAGCCGACCTGTAACATTGCATTCTTACTTCCCCGACCTAAACATGATGATGTACACGAAGCCTCTTGAAACGAATAATCGTAAAACGCCAGCCAATGTAATGGAAGGTTCGTCATCATTGTCATCATCAACGTTATCGCCATCATCATCAGCATGACTGTCACGATTGTTGTGGCTTTTCCTACATCACCTGCGACTCCTGTATCATGCAGACGAGACTTCACCAAGTTCAGCACAAAATGCCCCGCCGCCTTGAAGACCATAGTACTAGTAGTAGCAGCTGTAGTAATAGCAGTAGTAGTAACAGTACTAGTAGTA